TGTCGTAACTGGGGATCATAACGGGAACACTCGGGAGATTAGGTCCTCTTAGTAAGAGAAACTTACAGTACAAGACCAGGAATGTCCCCCTATCAAAAATAGGGAATATGTCTTTGTTGTTTACAAGGCCGCTCGATGAGCGAGACTGTGAAAATGCATGGCCGTGCTCAAATGGATTTTAGAAATCATCTACTTATTGACAGTCGAACTCAGAGATCGAGAAACACTTCTGAACGTAATAAGGATGACGATGAATCTTACCTTATAGTTCACGAAGAGACATTAAGCGATATAGGAAATGGGCTATACACTATGTGCACACTTGTCCGGAAGGACAAGTCGGAAATTGAAAGGAATGGTGTCGTTCCAACAAGTGTATTATTCTGATAGAGGGTTCAGAATTATTACAGAGCTAATTCTTCAGTAAGATCAAGTGATTGGAATGCCTAGGTGGAGGCCACTTCCGATTAGTAATATTAAGGTACAATTGATATTACAGCTTAATCTTAACTGAACCCTTCAGGTCGAACCCAATCGAAAAACCGATCCGAGACGAGGAATTAATCCGAACGATTTAATGAGTCGACAGAGTTTTACGAATATAGACGTCGGATATCGAGCCTAGGGCGTCAAGACCGAGTGTCGCAAAATCACAAGAAACAAGTACGAGTATAGCCGTAGCTAGGCTAGACAAGCTCATCGCAGGCCTAGGCGCACCATGTGTGTGCTAGGCGCGCCATGCGTGGTAGGTGCACTAGGCTGCCCATCACAGCACCACCTGCGTGTGTGCGTGCCTTTGCATGGCACTGCAGCACAGCAGCGTGCGTGCATGGGTGCCTAGGCACTATCGCAGCACTATCGCACCAAGCACAACACCCTTGTGCGTGGGTGTGTGCGTATGCACTATCGCAGCACTATCGCACCAAGCACAGCACCCTTGTGCGTGTGTGTGTACGTAGGCGCCATCGCAGCAACAGCCTCGCACAGCAGCACCATTCTAGGCCTTATGTGCGTGTGCGTGTGCTTATGCCTAAGGCCATCGTAAGCCATCGCAGCATCACAGCACCAAGCTTCGCATGCTTGTGCGTGTGGCTGGCAAGGCGATGCCCAGCATGCGTGGCTCGCTAGTAGCATGTCTGCTGGAAAGTGCGAAGGGGGCATTGCGTGTGCGTGTGCGATGAAGAGAGAGGCAAAGGCCAGCGCTAGCAGCTAGCAACGCCTAGTACTAGCACTAGCACGTAGCAGCAGCACAAGCATCGCCCAGCACAGCACGCATATGCTGGCTGGGGTGATGCGAGGCTTGCTGGCTGGTACTAGCTGGAAGCTCTAGCTGGCGTGCCTAGCTGGCTGCCAGCCCAGCAGCCCTCCTAGGCCAGTTTTGTGAGGGTGGGGACCAAGGGTTTGGAGCTTGCCTTGGGGAGCAAGGCAATGGTCCCCCCAAGGTTCATGGTCCTCACCTAACTCTCTCTCACCCCTTGACACTTGTTGCATTGTGATTGATTTGATTATTAATTTCATTTGGAATTAAATTAATTATCAAAATTATTCATTCTCCCACATTGGTTGGGAAATGAATATCAAGGGTTCATTTCCCTATAAATACCAAAGTTTGGGTATTTGGGAAAAAACAATCTTGAGTGGAATTAAAAGGCAACTCTTGATTTGAGTAAACCATGATTCGTAAAACTCATAGTTTTATTTGTCCGGGTCTCGACTAACCTTCGAGACTTAGGACGCTCGGGTCAGGTTCGAGGGTACGATCCCGTTGGAGACCTCGTATTTTCGGGTTTCAAGTAAGAGCTCATTGTCAAGCGAAGCACGCGTCAAAGGTATAATATTTTATCCTTAATTATGTTTTAATTATGTTTTGCTAGTTAATTGCATTTATTATGGGGGCAGGTCTTAGCGGGTTTCTTTCCGCGTAGTGTGGGTCACTACAAAACCCAACACCAAGCACCCCTAGTGATTCTATTTTGGAAGAATCAAGGGAGGAGGTTCAAATTGACGCGCTGGCCTTATTGACCTATCCAGTCAGGGGGATGATAGGCTAGAGAGTTCAAGCAATGACTCTGAGCCAAGTACCTTAAGCCACTTCTCTAACGATTCTGAAGAGAGACACTCTCGGCAGCATACAGCGAGAGAATCCCATTCAATAGAAAAAGGGGAAAACTGGGCGTAGTCGGCTGCAAGCCAAAGAGACATGTTTGCCCCTTATTACTGCCACGTTCTCAAAGGCAGGCGGACGGTAATGTCTGAAAAAATTGGTTGTTTAAGGGCTGACCATGTAAAGGGTTATGGTTACATACTCTGCGTGCCGGATGCCGAGGATACCGTAGTCTGGCCACAACGGGGCCATCTACAGGGACGAATGTTTTGGCTTCTATGAGGCGGCTATTAAGGCTGGCCTGAGATTTCCTCTACATCCGGCTGTGGAGAAAATTTTGGACAGATACCAGCTAGGTGTCTCGCAACTGGCCCAAAACTTTCGGTTCAACATCTTGGGCTATGTTACCGCTTGTGAAATGCATGAGATAGAGCCAAGTTTTGAAGCATTTGCTCATATGCACTACCTCAGCTAGACCCCGAAAACAAGCGAGACCGGCTGGTAACAGCTTTCTAGCCATATGGGTTATATGATGATTATGGGGAAGGAGAACAAATGGAAAGATTAGAGGAACACTTTCTACATCGTCTCTAACCCTGACAGAGTCCAAAACAAAAAGTTTAACAGGTGGAATAGGCACCCACCTTATCTAACAAGCGGATCTGATCTGCCGCCTGTTCCTCAAAGGGCAAGAGAAGAGATCCTAGACCGAGGGCTCTTCAAAGTGGGCATCCAGGCCAACCCTGAAATTGGGGTCTAAGAATTCATTCCCCAAAACTATATACCCAAGTATAACTAGTTATACGATGGGACATATCTAACCGCCTGTGGCCTTAGTGAACAGATGCCTAGAGGTAGTTGATCAGATATTCATGCGTCTTGTATGCCTTGGTTGATTTTGTGTCAACTAACTCTTTGATTCTTCTTTTGCAGCTACGGCTATGGAGAAAATCTTAGCATCAAAGAAAGCATTCGCCTATTACCGCGCATCCATTCTGGGGAAGCGGTCTACTAAAGAGTCGCCTGCCAAGCAGGCGGCCATGGTGAGCTACTTGAACGAATCTTTTTTATCTTCCTGTCGCCCGTCCCTTACTCAATGACTTTTGTTGCCGGGTGACTTAGCGAAACTTGCCTCCTCCAACCAGCCGGATCCTAAAATAAGGAAACAGACAGTTGAAGATGTATCCACCCCTGGGAGAGCAAGGAAACAAGCGGCCGAAAGCCTAGGAAGGAGTCTTCCCCCAAGCAGGGGAAGATCTGCAGCCACCCCTAGGAGCAGCCGAGGGCCATCCCCATCGAGGACAGGGAGACTGTTAAGGGAGTCAGCACCCTTAACCTGGAAGCCATCCTGGCTCTCTTGGCTGAGGTATACTTAGTAAAAAATTCTTTATTTGTTGTATATATAATTCCTGGTCGCATGTAACCAACATTTGTTTTTTAGCCGAATGTAGTCTATACTGCGAGTGTATGGTCTCCGTAAGCCCCTAAACGAAAAGAACAAAGAGGTAAAGGCTGCAAAGGCCCAGGCCGCCTCTGATTCTAATAAAGCTATGTTCCAGATTGCACAAAACAAAATTTTGACAATTGACATACTGTATTATCAGGCATCTGCCAATTTGCAGGTCAAGAAGGACTTAGAAACGGCAAAGAAGAGGATCTCAGAACTGGAGAAGTACGTATCGGACCTCAAGGCTGAGCTCGCGCCACTAAAGGAGGCGGACCAAAAAGCAGGCGGTCTTGTTCGCACTGTTTAGGTTCCTAACTAGGTTGGTTGAGTGATTATAAGGTAACCTCTGGGGTTAATCAGTCTCTGTCATTTGACTGAATAGAAGAGACAGTCGGCTGTGGCCGCACGTTGTTTCTCCATTTGCTAAGTTGGACTTAGCTTATTATCCAAATTGCTACCATATTTAGAACTTAGCTTATGCCAACTGTACTATCCTAAGAAATAGCAGGCGGTTTCTGACTTAGATTTTAACTGTCTACTGCTTTCTTGTAGTAAGCGGTACATTTATCTTTGTCTTATGCCAAACGACTGCTAGGTTGTCTTAGAGACATTCGTTAGGGTCGTTTGTTTTAGGTTTATAGAGCAATGTGCCACCCAAATGGGAGATGCTCTGTGCGACGAATTCACCTCGATGGATGTCGCCAAATGCCTGCTTATGTTTGGGACTTACGTATTTGTTTAATTTTATTAGGATCATCCGGCTATGGACCTTAAGTTGATAATCCGGCCATAAGCCTCATTAGGTTGTTCAGAAAAGAACATAGTGGCTAAGTTGTCTAGACTTAGCATTTTTACTCATGTTGGAGTAGGTGATTAAGATAAGACTGACTGTGTATTGCACAGGCGGCTTGTCCCACTGGGAAGGGACTTACAAAATACTGAGAAATAAATTTCTAATTTTATTGATATGCTTTCATGTACAAATAATTTACAAATCTCAGAAGTAGTACTTTTTCAAGTCGTCTACATTCCAAGTTCTGGCTAGCTGTCTGTCGTCTGGTGTTTCCAGGCGGTAGGTGCCGCCTCGAACTTCTTCATAGATTTGGTAGGGGCCATCCCAATTAGGAGTCAGCTTTCCCTGCTCGTTCGCCTTACCAATTGTTTCCGTTTTTCGTACCACAAAGTCCCCTACTTTTAGGGGGCGCTTGTGCACTCTTTTTTTTTGTAAGTTCTCGTCATTTTCAGACTGTAGATCTCATGAAGCAAGGCCACGTTGCCCCTGCATTCTGGAAGTGAGTCCAATTCTAGCCACATGGCCTCCCAGTTAGCCTCTTCGTCATAAAGCATGACTCGAAGAGTCGGCTCATAGTGCTCAATAGGCAAAACACACTAGTAGAAAAAATGAATTACGCAGCGCACTTTTCCCACCGGTTCTTGAAAACCGGTGGGAAAAGATATGGGCGGGATTGGGGAAAATACTTTTCCCACCGGTTCCTAATAAACCGGTGCGAAATCATATTTTCCCCACCGGTTCAAACCGGTTTGAAATTTAAAAAAAAAAACGGGCTGCGTGTTCTTCCTTTCTTTCTTCTTCTTTCTTTCTTTCCCCCTACTTTTCCATCTCCTGTTTTCCTCTCATTTTTGCCTTCTCTTCAACCGTCTCGAATTTCCCCTCCATTGAAGCAACACCTCCTTCTCTCTTCATTGAAGCAGCACCTCCTTCTCTCTCCATTGAAGTGATTTACAAGCTCTCTCACTCTATTGAAGCAGCACCTCAATCTCTCTCCATATCTCTGGCCTCCATGATTGCGAATGAACTCGTTGTGCTCTATATTCTCCATTGAAGCCAATTCTGAGCTTTCTCACCTCCATTGAAGCAGATTCGAGGTAAAATTTTTCTTGTGGTCTACTTAATCCCTCGAATTCATTCGCAATCTAGGGTTTGTCGTTGATTTGCTTTTAAATTTAGTAATTTTAGGGTTCTGGTAATCTAGGGTTTGTCATTGAAGCGCGCACGGCTCTACCTCCACCACAATGGCCTCCTTATCACGGCGGCAGGGCCTTATTTTTCTAGGGTTTATCGTCAATTCCCCCCTTTTTCTTTGATCTTTTTTGTTTGATATTTTTTTATTATTGAAGATTTCTTGTGTACTGTGTGTGTTAGTGTGTGATTGCTGTTTGTTTTTGTTTCTTTGAGATGTACTGGTACAACTGTTAGTGTGTGATGAAACTTATAATAAATTTTTTTTACTGCTCTTTCACAGCTAGCTGCTATTCTGCCATTGGCAATTGTACATACCCTAGGTAACCTCTTCACCAACATGAGTTTTGAGTTTTTTGAAAGAATTACATTGCGATGAGGGTTCAATGGTTGGGTATACGATTGAGGTTTGATTTATTGTTGGAATTTTTATGTCTTGCCTTGCTTGTTTGTTGTTAAATTATTAGTGATCAAATAGGTTGTTGTTATTTGCTTAAAGGCATGCTTATTGTTGGAGATTTCTATTTGTTTGGTGATGTGGCTGCTTCTTGACAGTTGAATTATTGGTGATAAGTTGTTGTAATACTCTTAAAGGCCTTCTGATGTGCTACTCTGTCATATTTGTCACATTTTATGCAGTTGCTTTTTCTGGATATTATGTCTTCGGTAAAAAATCTACTTCTAACATACTTAAGAGCTTCCTTCCTGTTAGTGGACCATCTTTGGCTCTAGATTGGGTTTTTGCACTCGCAGTCATCTTCATTCTTCTCCAGCTTTTCGCCATTGGCTTGGTAAGCTTAAGTTCCAATATTTCTAGTAAAATCATGGTGAATCCTTGATCATGAATTGGGTCGACCGTACGATAAATATTTTGGACGAGTTGACAAAAGTAGATAACCAACTGGTTGTTCCTTATAAAGTAATAGGGTAATAATAATCTTATTTTTGATGGATTGTGAATGTGATTCCATGGTTATAATAATGCAGACAGTACATTAAAGCTAATTGCTGGATGAGCTGAAGGATACTCTGGACATGTTGATGGGAAACATAGGGAAGCAAGGATGAACCATCCTAAAGGTGCTGTTGTCAATGACAGGGGAAACATATATGTTGCTGATACTGAATATGACTATTAGAGAAACTTTTGCCTATGCTGCCAGATTGCAGGGTGTCGGATATTGTTATGGTTCGTCCATTTTCTATCTCTTTTGTGTAAATAATTAACAACTAATAATGATACTTCAGAACTTATCGTAGTTGATGACTAATCTTCTGTTGTTCTGGATAATATGCAGAAATGTTGGCTGAGGTAAATAGGAGGGAAAAGGAGGCTGCTTCTACTTAAGGGTTTGAAGAAGGTAATACTACTATTTACTGGTATCACTGTGATGTTCTAGAATATATGATCAGTGCTTGATTGGACTGCATCTGTACCTTAGACCTTTGGTTAAATAAAAATGCATGGAAGCTGAGTAATGATGGTTGTAGGAGTTGTATGTAAATTTCCTTAAATTTCTCATATTAATGTTGAAGTTTAATTGGCTTCATAGTCACTGACTCGTTGTAGCTCAAAGTATTTGGGGCTTCTATGTAGGCACAAAAGCCTTGAACAAAACTCAATATGTTGTTCCTAATAGCCCCAAATCCGGAGAGATTGTTGCTTTTGTTACAATATTCACCATCTATAATTCTTCTAAAAAGAATGTTGAGAAGAGGTTATCTGGTTCAGTGACAATTGGGAATGCTTCGTACATGCAGTTGAAGAGGCCAATAGCTATCTTAGATTCATTTATTAACTTCATTCAGGCATGCATCTTCTGGATTTAAGTTATAGTAATAGTGATCATGAGTGCGTTCCATCTCAGTGTCTTGTAAAATTGGTTTAAAGCTGCTGATAATACACTTACAAATTTTAGTTGAAAACATTTGTTGCTCCTTGTATACATCATGCTTCCTCAGTCACTTCATAAAATTAAAGGTAGTTACATAAGCTAAATTTAAGGTGCTTCTTAAGCAGAATTATCCAAGATTGCTGTCTGTCTATCCTTAGTACCTTTTATGATGCCAATTGAATCATTGGTGTCATGAAGCAAGGATAAGGATATTGGTGTTGGCTTAGATTCTCAGTAGTCAGGACTTCACTATCATCTATCCAATATTTGGTTGGTTTGTAGCCTTATTTGATTTAAAGAGGAGGGGGGATTAAAGGTGATACTACTCCCTAAGATGATTTTCATTATAATCAGCCAGTTGCAATTGGCAAGATGGCTTAACAAAAACTAGCAGAGACACAACCTATTAATAACCACTAATATCAAAAGAACTATACCTATATCTGAAACTGTTTGCATTGCTCATTTGCTCCTAAAGTAGTCCATCTGAACACTCTAATGAAGTTAGTGGTCTGCATTCAGTTGAAGCCATAGCTTGTTCTGCTGCATTAACTGAGCTTTGTAACAACATTAAAAGAACAGATGTGGAATTGATTCAGGGCTATTATGGCAGGGACTGACTTCCCCGACCAAGCCCAGGCCACTTCTACGATGTACTCTCAATTCAATTATCTAGATTGCAAGTGTAAATATAATAAAAAGAACTAGTGAATAGCCCGGGCGTTGGCCCGAGTTGCTATTATTGCAGACATGTAATCGATAAATTTTTTTAAAGGCTTTTTAAAACTTAAATTGTCATAATTCAATATATAATAACTCTCCGTAACAATTTATAAAAACAACTTTCAAGTAACTTGTATGTAGAGTTTTGATCCGATTAATATATAGTTCAATGCTATATTAATAAAAGCTCTAACAACACCCTGTTTGGTGAAGTAGTGTTATAAATTATAACTTCAATGATTGAAGTAATTTTTGATCCGACGACCGATAGTGTTCATTACTGTAGTACTGAAAGGTCTATTATAGAATATTATTCTCGGCATTCTCGCTATTTGTGGTTAGCTGTTAATTAAGTTAGTTGTCAAAGTAAGTTGCATTGTTTGATATACAATATTGAAAAAATTAGTTATATGTTAAAGTACTACGTAGTATAAGTAATTCAAGCAACTTGTAGAGTTTTGATCCAATCAATAATAATTCATTACTATACTACAGAGTAATCCGATTATATATATATATATATATATATATATATATATATATATATATATATAAAATGTTTCCTAAAGTGATGATATATATATATATATCTCTTTCAATATTTATGTTATAGGTTTACTTATATTTTATGCGCTTATGGTCTTATCTATGCTTTTCTGGTGCATTCTCACCGTCTATCTGCTAGTACTAAACCAGATTGCAATGTAAACACACGAGTTGTAATTAATTAAGAACGATTGTAACGATAAGTTGTTTATAATTTGAGCTAAGCAGGAACTTGATTGAATGTGTCAAATGGATTACAAAACATGACTTGAGGCCATGAGTCTCCCAGTAGCTTGAGGCTACAACTCTCTGTGTTTTCCTTACAATTTTCTGAATGCCTTTTCCCTCCCCCCAGCCTTAGCTTAAGTACTACAATCTGTTGTCCCTTACATTCCCAAAAGAAATAAAACAAAAGTAACAAAAAGAGAGCCCAAAGTCTTCTTTCCTAATTAGTGAAATAGCTGCTTCCTTTGTTGTCTTGCTCAAAATGGGTTCTTCCAAAAAGTAGCCTTGTTTCTTGATTGTTGTTGCTTACTACCTCGTGTTGCTGCTGCCTGCACTTCTGTTGAATGGTTGCTTCCCCTCACAGATCAATGAGTATATCTCTATTATACTTCTCTCTTGTATACTTGTCAAAACTTGTTTTCAAAATGTGTTCTATGTTTCTGACATCAGTTGTATAAAGAGAGGCAGGAAAGGAAGAGGCATATTGCTTTGTTCCTCTCTATCTCTCATGTTAGGGCAGGGGATAATAATTTGCGGGAGAAATAGGGTTGGATAGAGGCATTTACTTTCTAGAGCAGCCATCGATATCATAACCTATATAAATACAATTGTATGTGTATCTCTAGGCCTTTTTTAGTGTATCTAATGTTGTTTGATGGTTTGATAAATGGTTTTTCTATATTCTTCTTTTCCTTTTCCCCTTCTTTTTTCTTTTGTATGGAAGAATTTTTTTTAGTTATTGACGTTGAGTTTTCCAGCATACAGAAGGTATTACTTATTAGTACGTAGATCACCCTGATGCCCAAAAGAAAACCTTAATGTGGTTTTGTTTCAATTTTTCAACAAGTAGATTATGTGATATTTTGATCTTATTCAGGTTGTTGCAGTTACAGAGGATAAAGGAACTGCTGGAGCTCTTCGTGCCATTTCACGTTACTTGACTGCCAGCGACATTTTGGTAAGCATCCTATATACTGCTTATTGGAACAGTACTATAAATTTAATTGTATTCCAGTAGTCATTAGTCTTGTGACAGTCTTTTGCTGCAGTCTGAGATCTACATTAGTTTTCTGTTGAAATGACTAATACCCTATTGTTATATTGTGTATGGTTTTTTTGTTAGTATAATATTGTTTCCCTATGCTGTTGAAATTTATGATTATATAACTTGAATGTTTTACTTTTTGATGACAGGCATTGAGCATAGTTTCAGCAATGTGTTGTTGTTGCAGCAATGTGTATCCTCGTGGTTCGGGCTATAATTGTTCAAATCGCTTTGTATTTGTGTGTGACCTTGTATTTTAGTTTTTTTGGACGAAAATTGTAATATTACGGCTTTTTTTAATGAAAATATGTAACTTTATATATATGTTAGTGTTTATATATCAATTTAAGTGAAAAAATAAATAAAATTTTGAATTTTTTGGGCATTTTTAGCACCGGTTTTTACTTAGAACCGGTGCTAAAAAATTTTTTTTGGAGACTTTTAGCACCGGTTCTTAGTAAAAACCGGTGCGAAAAGTGCAAATTTGCCACCGGTTCTCCTAAAGAACTGGTGCGAAAAGTCATTTTTCCCACCGATTTTGAACCGGTGCGAAATCTATGGGGTTTTAGCACCCCCCAAATCCGGACCGGTTCACCCCCCAAATCCGGACCGGTTCAAAACCGGTGCGAAATGGGGGGTTTGAACCGATGGGGAATTCGTATTTTCACCTAGTGACAACTTCAGCACCATAAGTCATGAGAAATGAAGCTTAACCGGTTGCCCCTTTTTCACTCATCCTGATGGCCCACAGAACATGTGGTAGCTCGTTAGCCCATAGGCCGCCAACTCTTTCAATTTTGTTTTTGACGCCATCAGAGACTAACTTGTTGAAGGCTTCAACCTAGCCGTTTGCTTGGGGACGACCGACTGATGCAAAACAGTGAGAGATCCCTTGGTCTCCCGACCATTTCTTGAGAGCAGGCGTCTCAATGAGGACCATTGTCAAAGACCATAGACATGGATACCCCATACCGAGTGATGACATTTTTCCAGATGAAGGAGATAACATCTTTTGTTTAAATGCCTTTGACTACCTCCGCCTCTACCCACTTGGTGAAGTAGTCGACAACAACAAAAATTGTTCTCCGTCCGCCTGTAGCAGGCGTATACGGACCCAGAATGTTCATGCCCTATTTGACAAATGGTACTAGGCTATGGATAGCCTTCAGGTTAGTGGCTAGACGATAAATGAGCTTGCCAAATCCTTAACACTTGTCAATAGGGTAGGCTAGAAGTAGCCTTGCCACCTGGCTCTCTTTGCTAGGGTCCTCCTGCCTATGTGGGAGGCGCAGAAGACCGAGTGCAAGTCTTGTAGGACTTCTCGTCCCTTCTCTAGGGTAACACATTTCAAAAAAGGTTGGAGATAGCCTTTTTTGAGAAGCTCTCCATTGTGGATTTCAAAATTGGCCGCACGTTTTTTCATTGCGACCATACCTGGGTGGGTATCCAGCAAGGTGCCATCTGTTAAGTAATCTCGGATGACATCCATCCAGGTTGAGCTTTGATCTAGGATTCCAATGGGTTCCTCTTCGATGCTCCTCTTTTCCATCACTTCCCCGAAAACTGACCTATCTGTGTCACAAGAGGCGGATAAAGCCAATTTGAAGAGAGCATCCGCCTGGTTATTCTCAGACCTTGGCACCTGACTTAGATGAAATTCCTCAAGCGTCATAGCCTCTTCTTTGACTTCTTTTAAATAGTTTATCAAATCCGGATGCGTGGCTTCATAGTCACCATGGTATTGGTTAACAATCAATTGTGAATCAGAACAGACGTAAACTTTCTTTGCCCCAGCCGCCATACACATGTGGATGCCGGCTAATAGGGCTTCAAACTCTGCCTCGTTATTTAAGGCTTGGAACTTGAAACGTAGTGCGTACTCATACTTGTCTCCTTTAGGTGACTGACATATGACACCTGCACCACAACCGTTCAGGGTGGAGCTCCCGTCCACATATACCTTCCAAAGTTGTTCAAGGTTTTCTGGATCAGTCGGCCTAGTCATTTTCAACAATGAAGTTGGCAAACGCCTGCCTCTTCATTGCCTTCCTTGGCTCAAAATTTATTTCAAGGCTTTGGATCTCAATCGCCCATTTGATCATTCGGCCGGATGATTCCATGATTGTTAGTGGTCGCTTGATTGGCTGGTCAGTGTAGACCACAAACGGATGCGCCAAGAAGTGAGGTTTTAACTTCTTAATTGCCATGAAGAGGGCCAGGCCAAAATTTTCAACCATAGGATACCGTAACTCAGCATTCCTCAAGACATGGCTGATGAAATATACCGGGAGCTGGCAGCCGTCCCTTTCAGCAAGGAGAACGGCACTGAGAGCATGATTAGAGATGGCCAAGTATATAACACTTCCCTTGGAAGAGGGCTAACGAGCCTTGGCAAAGAATGCAAGTGTTCCTTCAACTTTTGGAAAGCCGCCTCCGCATCCGGCCCCCATTCAAACATAGTCTTCTTCTTGATTGCTTGGAAGAAATAGAGACACTTGTCGCGGGACCGACTGAAGAATCTCCCCAATGCCGCCAGGCAACCTTTTAAATTTTGAACTTCTTTTATAGTGCGGGGTGACTTCATGCCTATGACCGCCTGTATTTTTTCTGGGCTTGCCTCTATCCCCCTTTGATCAATCAGAAATCTGAGGAACGTCCCAAACTCAACACCAAAAACACACTTCTTAGGATTGAGCATAACCTGGTGCCGCCATAGTGTGGCGAATGTTTCTCGAAGATCTATAAGATGGTCCATTTGAAGTTTGGATTTGACTATCATATCATCAATATACGCCTCCACATTCCTTCCAATTTGATTAATGAAGACTGTATTAATCATTCTTTGGAAGGTAGCATGCAGGCGCATTCTTCGAACCAAACATCATCATAGTATAGCATAATAACCCCTAATCAGTGTCGAATGTCGTCTTCTCTTGATCTTTCTTCCACAAGGGTATCTGATGAAAACCTAAATAGGTGTCCATAAGGCTCATCAAGGCATGGCAGACTGTAGAGTCGACCAGACTGTCGATCTTTGGGAGAGGATAGCTATCCTTTGGACATGCCTTGTTCAAGTCTGTGTAATCTACACACATGCGCCAAGTACCATTCGGCTTCTTTACAAGCACAATATTGGCAACACAATCAGGGAAATAGCATTGCCGAATGAACAAAGCATTTTACAATTTTTTCACCTCAGCGGATGTTGCCTGGCTTCGTTCTTCACCATGGTTCCGTTCTTTTTCCTTACCGGCTTCTTTTTAGGATCCACAGCAAGCATGTGGATGGCTAGATCTGTGCTGATGCCTGGCATCTCGTCCACCTCAAAGGCAAAGATGTCTTTGAATTCTTTTGACAAGTTGTGCAAGTCTTCACCAAGTTTAGCAAAAGCAGTCGTCCCCAACTTGATAGTTCTTTCCAGACGAGAGTCATCTAGAACAATGTCCATGTGCTCACCAGTCGGCTGGGGACGGAGATCATCTGGCCGTTCACCGGTCAATGATTGCTATTGCTTGTCTTTTTTCTCGGCCACCATTTGGTTAGCCTTTCTCTTCTTTCCGGCTGTTGTGGCAGCAGGCACAGCTCCCTAAGCTTGGCCAATGCAAGGTCAGTAGTTTCTCCACTAGGGCTGGATGAGACCATAGTGGGTTTGACATCGGAGAGATAACACTCCCCTGCCATCTTTTGGTCTCCCCGAAGGGAGCCAACTGTTCCATCACCCGTCTCAAACTTGAGGAGCATAAGTGAAGGAATGATAACAGCCTTGGATTCATTCAGGGTAGGATGCCCCAAAGTCATGTTATAGGCCGTCAGCTCTTCAACAACTAAGAACCGGACAACCATGTGGCGTCCTTCCCCTTTTTCGCCTAGACGAATGGGTAGGTCTATTCGACCAACTAGATGTACCACACCACCCCCAAATCCCACTAAGGGATGAGAGACATGGTACATGCTTTCGAGCTTGTACCTAAGCTTGGCCAGTCACTTGTGACTGATGAGATCAGACGAACTCCCAATGTCAAGAGAATTCGGTCAGCTCTTTGGTTGGCTACTTTGCATTCGATGACAATAGGGTTATCATGCGGCCTCCTAACTTTTCCCCTATCATCCTCTGTAATTAAAACTTCGGGGAAGGAGTCTTTGGACGTCTGCCCCTCGTCGACTGAATTGACGTCGATCCGTCTGATGTAGTCCTTGTTACCTCGGATCGTTGGGCCGCCTCCAGCAAATCCGCCTGCCATTGTGTAGATCGGAGTTTCATTAGTGTCCGAACAATAAGTAGAGTGAGTCTTCTTCATATACGACTGCCCAGGGTAGTTTTCAGGGTAACCTTGGACCTCAAAATATAAGATGTGAGAACTCCTTTATCAGCCAGACGGTCCAACAGCCGCTTGAGACTAAAGCATTCGTTGGTGCCATGGCCAATATCCTCATGGTAGTGGCAATATTTATTTTTGTTCCAATTTTTGGCGGAACCTTTTATAGCAGCCGACTTCTCAGTTGAGACCTGGTATTTAATCTCCATGAGGATGGAGTGACAGTCCTTATTGAATTCGTACTTAGGGGAGTACGTTTTCATTTCTTTCTTTTTCTTCTGGGATGGCTGTTCAGAAGTATTAGCCACCCTGACTTCTTTTCTTTTCTCTTCTTCTTTCTTAGCCGGCTGTAATGACCGAATCTCACTTTTTTCAGACCTCTTTAACTCAAATTGTTTGCTGATGTTGGAGAGCTCGGTCACGTGTATATAGGCGTCGGCCTCCATTAGCGCCTCTTGGAGGGTAGCAACCCTCTTCCTGACAAGGTCAAACTTGAAGGCTGACCCGTCCTTCAGACCCTTGAAAAAGTCTGTATAGGGCACCTCATCAGATAGTCCTTGAATCTGAATTCTCATCATATTGAACTGCCTAATATACGAGCGTAGCCCTTCCTTCTCACCCTTTTGTATAGCTCCCAAGTCAAGACTTGTTTTCTTTGCACGGATATTCATTGAGAAGTTCGACGCAAACAAGTATGCAAGCGTCTTGAAGTTATTTATGCATCTGGATGGCAGGTTGCCGAGCCATTGCTGGGCGACGCCCTTCAATTTGGCCGGGAAGCATCTACACCATACGAAATCATCCAACCCTGTAAGATACATAAGATTGGTGTATGCAGTCAGGTGGTCTTCTGGGTTGGTGGTACCATCATAGGCACCTACCAACACATTTTTCACCATGGCTGGCTGTGCGGCCTCGGTTATCTCCTTGGAGAACGCAGAAGGTTGTTCTCCAAGTCTTAGCAGTCGAAACTGCCAGCCCAAGGGTTGGACATTGTGTGCCGCCTGC